CGATTTGCATGCACAGATTCTAATTGTTTCCTAACTTCGATTTTCGCGTTTATTTTGCTTGTTATCCTCCAAAATCCTTCAGAATAGTTTGCTTGACTTGCATTTGGTTGACATTCGTCGATACAAGCTTTCATTATTCACAAAACCGGCTCACAAAAATTCCCCGCGACTCGCCATAAAATTCAAAATTTTCAAAAGCTCGGTGTGTGACGGTCAAAAGTCCACAGGGGCTGGAACTAGGCAGGTGATTGGCTAAATCTATTAACTTCCTGTGTGCCAAATTTGGGAGCAATCGGAAGTAACACAATTTTTTGCGAAATTTCTTTAGTCACCGTTCCTCAAGCTCCAATTTTGGTGACTCGGAAGACAATGAGTTTTAAAGGGTTAATGGTATGCATCATTAACTTTACTTTCTCATGCCAGGAATGCTGGAAATCGCATTTCCAAGCTTCTAAATTTCAACATTTTCTGGGGGAGCATGCCCCCAGACCCCCCCTAGAAAAAGTGGCCTTTGGCCACCTAAATAGTCACAGCTGCCTACTATAATATGGGCAGACGCCTACTTCAAATCTTATTGAAAGCCCTGCTTTTAACCTGTAAATTTTTAAAATCCCGTTCTTTCCCAGGGTGTCAGTGTGACAACTAAAATATTTACTAGCTCCAACTTGAAACCTTTTTTCGACAACCTTTTCGCGAAGTTTGCACTGAAAATTCCCGTGAAATTGGCTGATTTTTCGACAAATTTGTCCCTAAAAATCCAGCGAAATTTAACTTTTTTTCCACAACCTATTAGAAGTCCTGCATAGTATGGCGTGATACATCAGATTTGAAAATACCATGGATAGAAGTCGGTATAAATCTGGAGTTAAACTGGCTTTGTTTATGCGATTTGGCACATTTTTTATGATGAAAGCAAAGCAAGATAATGTGAAATGTTTGTGTTAACTTTACTCTATTAATTTAAATCTAAAATATAGAGAAATCTGGTCGCCATTTTGGCGACTAAACCAGAATTTTTAGTCACCAAGGAGAAAAATGTTAGTCGCATTGGCGACCGTATCAGTTGCAATTTCGAGGCCTGAAATGTTCAAATTTGCTGCCATTTTGGCACACTATTCGACTTAGTCTTCACTTGGAGTATGACGTCATGTTACATCCTTTAAGGAACATGTGGCTTTATCAACAGGAAAACATTAAGGGTTCTGGTAAGTTTCTTCCCGTGAAAGTTCACTTTATCCCGTGGAAACGTTCAATGCCAGAAAGATTCAATCCTTACTTGTAATCGATCTTTTTGGTGCACAGATGGTGAAGGCAAGGTAAAGCAAGTTCCTTAATTTACGTCACATGTGAGACTGCTAGTTGGTGTGATCAGCGGGGCAGATGCACCACAAAAAAGTAGACTTCAAAAATTTGTAAAAAAATCGCGTTTTGTTCAAATCGCAAAATTTTTTTGCAGAGTTTATTCTAATAAGGTATAGTTTCAGATAAGAAAATAAAAAAAAATTTAGGTGATGGACACTTTAACAGTCTTGGGACTATTCTGTTATTGCCACTTTGTGATCAGGCAAGTTTGGACCCCACCGATCAAAAATTCCTGGATCCGCCCCTGATACCTTTGCCAAGAAAAGAGAACTCTCCCAGCATGGAGACTGAACCAAAGGTAGAAACTAGGGACCTTAAGCATCGACGACGAAATGGGACGACGATGCTGACCCGAAGTGAAATTTTCCTGCGCGAACCTTCTGGGCTTGCGTAAGGTTGTCAAAACGTCATCCAGGCTTCGTTGACGACGTAATTCAGGGAGGTTTGCTGTCGTCGCTAAAACGTAAGTATAAAACTACACTTTTTGCGTGTACATCACTCTTTTCCCCCCTTGTCATTCAGTACCAGTAGAAATATATTCTTTGTGGATTAGCAGAATCCAAATGTTAAACACTTTGTCGATTTCTTCGCCTGCTAACTTGAATTTATTTTTCAGGTTCGGTTTGTTTGAAAACCTGAGTGATGGCGGAACAACAAGTCGGACAGACAAGTAAGCTTTCCTCTGCTATCTTTCGAATCTTTTAGATTAGCTGCTGTTCGTTCCCTTACGGTCCTATGTTAACTCATGCATTCTAGGTTGTACTATAGGATAAAATGTTCATTTTTTCGTACTAAGATTTAATAATTTCCCATGTTGTTTTTAGCCGCTATTAAAGGCAACTATTTTCCAGTGGACTCAGCTGGGACATGATGTGGTTATGAGGAGCCCTGAGAGAGGACAAATATGGGAGAACATTGTAGCAGCACTGAATTCTCTTCAGCAGTCGAAATTTAGCTTAACTGCAAGTCAACAGCTGTTCGAGATCGGTATACAGGTTTAACTTCATTTCAAAACAAAAACAAAAGCTGCGCGACAAAGAGAAAGCCTCCACAATCAAATAATCCAAGTCCTAAAGAACAATGAATTCGCCATCGTCGATTAAACCATCTTCATACCTTATAAAATGCAAATTACGGACGTCTTTGAATGCCCTAAAAAGACTGTAACAAGACAAAGTTCTTCGCAAAGAAAAAGTCGTCATCCGTCTGGGAAGCTGCACTGCTTAAACTTCGTTTTCCCCGCCGAAAACGAAACTCTTGGCCCAATCTGCCTCGGTTGCGAAGCGTCGTTGTCGTTCATTTCGTTGTTGATGCTTAAGGTGATTCCCTGGTTTTGTACTGCGCATAACAAGATGGCCGCCGTAAAAAAGAGCATGTAAAGTAACAGTATTAAAATGAAGTTGACTGAAGAGAAACGCTATTGGAATTTTTTCTTGCGGTTGTTTCTTGCCGAGGTGAGACTCAATGTGTTGGGAATGTGCATAACGTAAGCAGTACGTGTGTTGCTAAGTTCGACTTCCTCACGGAGAACCTCGATAGTGGATGTTTAACTTGTGCTTACTTACTTTGATTTTCATTTAAACGCTTTCTTTATCACATTGTGTTCTAACTGTGATATCTCGATGTAAATTCTGTAAAAACGGATTTTTTAATACTTTCTTCCCCTTTTCAGCTACATTCTATTTTGAAACTCGCCCCAGTCCTCTCTCAAAAATCGGAGAAAATTCATTTGGTGCGCATTTTCTGCAGCTCTACTGCAAAAACGAGTACGGTGACCCCCATTTTTTATTTCATGATTTTAACAAGGACAGTGCTTCCTTTCGATGAGAAAAAAATTGGCACAAATCTATGTTCAGTTTTTTGGCAATTTTACTAAATTGTACGGATTGAGCTACCACGGGTCGAATAGCGCGTGTCCAATTCAATTCTACTTTGGAGCGTAAAGTAAAAACAGGAGCATTAAAAGGCATTTTTCTAGTATGTAAGTGGATAAACAATACAATAAAGTCAAATTCTGTGCGATACCACATGCATCATCAAAAAAATCTCTCCTTTTTGTCTAGTTTTGGGCTGCGCACGGTTTTTGTCAAAGGGTCCAAAATAGCCGTATTTGTCAGCATTGTGACGTCAAAACGAGCACGGTGACCCCCACTTTTTATTACTTTTTTATCATCTTCTTGACTTGTTACATCAGTGTACCAAGTTTCATCCACAATCTGTGTTAGGTTCTTTTACTAAGGAATCACCTTAAGGTCCCTACTATCCCAAAGATAGATAGTCTTACACGTGTATCCGAGGCTCTGTAGTAGATTAAATAAGGCTATATGGTAGCATTATTTTTTATCAAGGAAAGCATAACAAGGGCCATGGTCGTGACGAAAAGCTAATATTTAACTGACCTCTGATAAGTTAACTTCGGCCGCTAACTTTCACGCGTGGTGTTGTATTTCCCGTCAGCGTCCAATATCTGTTCAAAACAAATGACATTATCGCACCATTTGAAACTCACAACATCAAACAAAATACTTTCAAAACGTTGGGCAATATATTCCGTGTATAGTTCTTACCGTTTAGAGTTGTACAAAAGCCAAGCATCAGTAAACGTTACATTCCAAAAACTCGAAAATAAAATGAATCACATGCGCGGCTGCTCAGCGTTTTAGCTGGGGTGCACGTGCTCACATGAGATCGAGGCAAGTAAGGTCCTAGTCCTTAGGCCCTCGTGGCTGGTAGCAGTAGTAAGCATTAGTCTGGGCCGGACCTCCTTGGTAGCAACAGCCGGCCGCAACAGCCAACTTGAGTTGAGTGCCGATTCTCCAGATTGCTGTCGTCTCCCCGAGCAGGGAATTTGCGCTAGACAAAGTGAGAAGCAATTGATTTGAAAATGATTTTTTCTTAACTCATTTCAACTTCGACTTCAACTTCAACTTTATTTAATAAAAATATTTTCTCGCCTCATGTCAGGGTATGCTGGAAATTTTTCTTGTGGAATCTGAAATCCTGGGCTTTGGAATCCGGAATACAGCTCAAAGGATCCGGAATCCCACTAACGATTGGAATCCAGAATCCACGTTCCACTCACAAAGGCTGGGATCCAGTACCTGGAATCCGTAATCCGTGGTTTGGAATCCGGAATCCAAGACTGTCTCAGATACCTTACATGTGGCCACATTTTCACTGTGACAAGTTTTTGCACTTAGCTTCGTTTTGAAAGTGAGACTTTAAAAAAAGAGGGACAAGCTATGCGTTGCTTGCACAATTTATTTTGCATTCAAACAAGTCACGTTTATAATGCAATACAAGTTATGTAACGTATAGTTTTAATTGAATTGAAATGTAACATTTGTAGTCTTCGAGGTTATACACAGTCTGGGCTTTGTTAATTGCATCTAAACTGTAGCGTTTACACTTTCACTGAACGGATAAAAAGAAGAGGAAAGAAAACATTTTCACCTCTAACATATGATAGGATGACGACGATTAACATAATAAATCACTGCGTACCTTACAAAGCAAGAACAAAAACAAAATTACTAGAGTGGTTTTCGTTTGAGTGTCGTAAAACCAAAACCAAAGTAATTACTCTGGCCAATCACATAGGACNTTTTTTTTTTTTTTTTTTTTTTTTTTTTTTTTTTTTTTTTTTTCAATTTTTCATAAATAAAACATATTAACAACAGCTGCTTAAGCAAAATAACTTTACATGTAATTGCAATAAACCAATCACCATAACTTTGTTGCATTTACATGACTGAATAATAAACTCTACACCCGCCGAGTCAAAAGAGGTTATACGAATGAAGTAAAGAAGAAATCATATATTGTGAGGATTCTGATGAAATCTCCCTGACAATACTTGTACACGTTACTACAGTATCTCTCTCTTTTGATACCCAACGATACAGTCAACTCTTTCAAGGGACACCTGCAGTTCATTCGTGCTGTCTTCACAGTTTGTTCTCTCTAAAAGGCAGACACCTTTGTAAGAGGGACACGGGGTCCCAACATTCAAGAGGGTGATAAGAATTGACTGTATCAAAACTGCCGGGATTTTCCTAAAATGGTTTATCAAAGAACCTTTAATGCTTTTCCTGCCTACAAACTGAAATTGTATTTTCGCATCTACCGCACATAAAGGAACTATACAAGCACATCTGTAGGTGTGATGACAGACTTCATTGTAATATATTGTTTTGGAAGAAATTTCAGCCGGAAAAATAATAACATTAAGGTCTAACTAGTCTAATTGTTTTGATAGATCAAATACTAAATGGACCATTCTTTCTCTCCAGTGAGGCTAACCTTTCCAGTCTTTAACTATGAGATTTTAGTCCAAACAGAGTTTTTAGATTAATTTGATGCCTCTAGTTCGCTTTTGGTGGTCCGCCTATCTAGCAAAAACTTGTAGTTTGTGAATTGTACAGTTATTCATGGACAATCCAGGACCTGCCCGTGATCCTCATCAATGACAATTTTTCAAACAAAATTAGAAGAATTTTCAGTGTCATGGTGTATGTCATCTGGTCTCTGCAGCAATGATAATAAGCTTTCCATCTTCAAGACAAACAAAAAAATGAGTGCCATCTCTCGCCAGCGAGACAGAACGAATAGGAAGCAAAAGATTCATCTTCTTTACAACCTGAAAACTGAAAATGCGATAAAAATAATTAATTACACAAACCGACGACAATCGCTTTCCTTGGCTGAAAAGAAGGTTTATAAATTACTGACACCTATAGAGTGAGTTCTCCCCAGGTGGACATTATTTCTACTTCTTTTTGTTCTTCCTTATTACCTCGCCTAATTTTTGAGACATTTTCGAAGGGATAGTTGAAGCAAAAGGAGCATTAACGTAGGATTATATCCGAGAATGTGTTACCGTGACTATTGAATATGGGTAAAGGTAATAACAGGCGGAACACTGAAAAATTAAGGGGTTCTTTACCTGCGAAGGGAGAAAATAGGTACGCTACAAGTTGATTTCCACTTACGTGGACAAATTTTGATCACCTCTTAATAATTTGACGAGCAAAGTTCAAAAGTCCAAAAAATGGAAATTCCAGAAAATCGACAAAGGACACTCCTGCCATTGGGCCCCTGTCCCGTCCGGCATCCCTGATATACTGAAGCTGTTGTCTGTTTTCCGCCTGATAGTGGAGCTTGGGGACAAGTATCCCAAGTTAGCGAGAGGTGAAAAAACAAAAGATATCGCTCTTGAAAACTGGACTAGCTCTTCATGCACTACGCAAAAACGTACACTCTCACACAACTAGGAAGAGTTCAAACCTGTGCAGTGCTCTGATTTCCAGTCTACCTTTTGAATCCCCTGTCACAACATATTCATTGGAAATAAACAAAGCAGCAACGTCGTCTTTTAACTTAACATCTTTGGACAACAGTTTTCCATTGATAGAATATCTGCACAGAGCTCTGTTTGATTCCTGCTTGCAATATACCACGATATTACCATATTCGGACAAAGCCAGGCTAGTCACGTGACAATGATTTAGCTGCATTCCCATGGGTCTCAGCGTCTGTACATACTCTCCTTTTCGCGCAGTGTAAATAATACAGGTCCCATCCTGTAGAAAAATGTTTCAAAACTTGTCAATCGACAATACACAATCCAACATTCTAGCGCCACAGAGTAGAAAACAACGACACTAACTCTCATTAACTGATCTCAAAATGCCACGACTGGATCGTTACGCCGACTGAAATTGCTTAGTGTGTTAGTCAGTCTTTGCCAAGAAATGATGTACTTAAGTGCGACGGTCGCTTAAAAGAAGTTGCAGTTTAAGTGCTCCTACTGGAAAAAAATGCTCTTGGAATGTTAGACATGTGGTCACTTATGAGAGGTGGTCTCACATGAAGGCTCCATTGTACAATAACTATATCAGTGGTATCCTGAAACCCATTAAGACAAAAAAAAAGGTGTTGTCAAAATAATTCTCGCCAATATACGGAAACAGGCAGTGTTTTTTAACGATAAGAAATAAGTGTTTCTTTTCTCGTTCAAAATAGACTGCAGTGTAATTTCTAAGTTGTGTTTCCTGTGTAGCGTACCAATGTGTGTCAACGAAATTACTAAATTTAAACCAACCTGAGATCCACTGACTGCTATATTAAGTTCCCAGCTCATAGCCACGCACGTAATAGGCTTGTCATGACCATATAAGGTCTCCAGAGGCGTGCGTAAAAGTTCCTGAGCCATACCACCCTGATGAGTGATTTCCCACAAGCGGCAGGTAGTATCACATGATCCCGTGACCAGGTGATGTCCATCATCATCCAATGACACGCACGTTATCACATCTTCGAACAAACATAGCTTTCTGTCAGTGTGCATTAGTTTTATGAAACACAAAAACCGACAAACCATCTTTCAGAGCATCACAAATTATACAACATGGAAGTAAGGCAATGTTCAACAACTTTCATATAAATGTTCACACGTAACGGTACCACAGGAGAGTAATACTTAGTGGCTCACATTTTATTGCCACGGTATCATGGAATTTCATTCACAGAATTAAATGTTAAAACTACCTTGTATGGTATAAAAAGCAGTACCACAGGAAAGTACTGCTCAGTAGCTTTCATTTAGGTCGTTACACAACATTTCCTCCACTGTCCTCATACAGATTCGTAATGTGGGCAATTAAAGTACGACTAAAGAGCACCTTATTAATATATGTTCTATTGTGATATAGCACTAAGTTTGCTTTTGAGAGAGAAATACGAAGTAATACCAGCTAACAACAAAATGACAGCTTTAGGTGAGAGCAGAAAATTTCTGCGGCCCGGATTCATTGTAGAGGAGTAAATTAGCCTGGGAACTAGGTGATACACTCAAAAAATGCACAGGTGTCAATGACAGCCTTCACTTGTATGTATGAATGCATCAGCCGACTGATACTCTCAAGAACGAATGGCCCTTATATTTCTCGATTGACGATGTATTTTTTCGTCGATTCCTGTTGGGTATTAAATGTATTTTACCACCCGCAGTTCATACCTGTGTGGGCCACAATCCTGCTTAGTAGCCTGCCTTTGGAAGTGAAAACTCGGAAACTGTTGTCCCAGTGGCCAGCGGTTATGATTAACTTAGCATCATGGGTAACAGTAAATAGGTGAGATGATACGCGTAAGTCAGGGGTAAATGGACCCGCAATACGACGGCGTAACCTGCAGCGGAAGAGAAAAAAAATTGTGATCATTTAGCTTTCAACGTTACGAATTTTTATGATCTAATTTCTTCGTTACCTTGGCGATGATAGAGAAGGGTCGCATTCAAAAGTGAAAGGTTTTGCTCTGTTTTTGGAGTATGGTAGCCAGTCGTGTAATCCCAGAATACCATTTTGGCTGATAGTAATCATGTTTTCTGGCATGCCCGAGTGGATGAGCGATCTGCTGTGAACTTTGGACACTGCAGTGAAAACCAAGGGGTCAGCGACATCAGACACCTACGAAAAATGAGTAAGACAAGTTATTAACCCCAACATTTTCCTTCTACGATTGCCAAAGCTTAAAAACCGCACTATATCCAAACTTTATTTGGTAAAACACCGAAGAAGGAGAGAGAAGGGAGAAGTCGGTTTGTTAGCAATTAAGGGTGATGAGTTCATCCTTAATTATCCACAATAGACCGGAAAAAGACTGTTAAATTTTCCGCTAGTCCACCATGCCTAAAAATGGGTACAGAATAAAGGAGAATGACTTACATTTACAAAATAAGCCTTCAGTGCATCAAAGCTTTGGAAAACATTCGCAAGTGTTTTGCTTGTGCCTGCATTCTTTGTTGTTTTAGACTTTGCGAGCTCCTCCAAGGACATGCGCTGTGGATGAGGCTGAGTAAGCAACTGAGTAGGAGTCTGACCAAAGTTGTTAATCATTCCTTCAGTGGCCAATCGCTCAGCTGGGTCTGTGATAGCATCAAGATCAACAGCCCCTAATAAGGACAAAAGATTGATATTAATGAGAATGAGAAATCATTTAACAGGACACACTTTATAGTCGGATAGTTGCAGGGCAAACCTTGATGAACTTAAACAAAGGTTCATAAAAAATACGGTGGAGAGTGGTCAGGATTCTGCAGTTTCAAAGAATATTTGAAGGGTGGCCTCCCACAAACTTAACATTCCTTACAGCAGAAAATGGCTGCCCTCCTCTAAATCTTCATAGCCCCACCCCATAAAAAAAGAACGATCCCTTACTCTTCCCAGCTTAATACAATTTGTGCTTTGTTCCGGTTTTTTAAATACCGCTCTTTAAATAGATACTTTATTTTTCATCTAGATATGAAGCGTTGTTGTCATCTACCAACCGACAAAGAAAGAGCAAGAGCAAGTGCTTTCCTTTGACAGTAATTGTTGTAAGAAATTTAATTTGCACAACATTATATTGATCTAATTTTATCGGAAATTTTTTGCAAAAGGTCCTTACCTTCGTAAGTACAATAATAAAAAACATTCAAAGCCTCAGCAGCAGCAAGTCCTTTCTGTTTGTAGCCAAAAATCAAGTCAATCCACTGGTGTAAGTGAGCAGAAACGTAATCAGATTCTAATGCCTGCCTGTGTTTTTGCACAAAATCTTCAGGCGAGGACGCCCACGGTGGGAGAATGACGTCATCAACAGCTTCTCCACGCTGGAGACGACCAAGGTCAAACCTACAAGGGTAAATGAAATAGCATCACTATTGTATATGTAAATGTCGAATGTTGTTTCTACTAAACATTCAGTGTTTTGTGGTGATGTGGAAACTATTGTTGGTTAGGCATTGTTTTGTGGTGTGGCCACTGTTCAGTGTCTTTTCAATCTTCTGTGTTACGTCATTTAGTGATTGCACCTTTCAACAACACCAAGAAATCACCTACTTATCTGAACCAAACAGAATTTTAAAAAAGGCCCAGAAACGTCTTAATTGCAGTGATTTTGTTACCTCTGTGTCCCGCGTCACTGACGCATAAAAATCCCAAACGACGCAAAATAATTCATGGCATGCGTCCCGTAGGACGTAAAGAACGATTGATCGATTTTAAGATTTTTTGGTATAATATCCTGTTCGTGTGATTGCTGTGGCTGTTGTTCAACGGCACTTAGCTTATTTCTTTAAGTCTATGTTGCACTTAAGAAGAGATGGAGTATATTTTTATTTTAGTAAACTGTATAAAGAGTTTTGAAGTCTGTCTTCAGATTAACTGTGCTTGCTACACAAAGAACCAAGCATGTTCAATTTAGGGCCCTTTGTTTTTGTAACTGGGCCTCAATGGTTCTGAACTGGGACTCATGATTTTTCACGAGACGAGTCCCAGGACTGATAATTGGTTTGGCGATTTTCGATTCTTAATTGTGATGACATACTTGCCCTCTCCTGTACATGTCATGTACCTACACAAAGAACCCTGCGGTTTGTTTTACCTGTTTGAGTTGACCAAGAAATCTGGGAAGTAAAAAAACTCTGGGATAAGTTCCTTGACATCACCACCTTTTGAGTAGATGGAGTCCCAGGAAGAGGCAATGTTGTGGAATTGTCTGTCGGCGCAGTCGAAACGTCCGCTCTGCAGTTTAACGTGAAGTGTGGTGAATGGTTCTACACGTAACATGTAATGAAGGACACCTGCTGAACTGGAGTAATGAGAGCCGTAATGAAACTTGGCAATCAGCCCACTGGGATCTACGAAACCATCATATCTGTGAAGCAGACAAACAATGTTACCTTACAATTTACCTTGAGTGCGTTCTCTGTTATCAAATAAACGATTTCTTTCTTTCTTTTTTTTTTTCAAGGTGAAGCTTCTGTCAGTTAATACTTAAGCAACTATAGGAAACAAGAAGAAAGAAAGCACCTTTCTCTTAATGCATAAACTCTATCTGGATTGAGTGCTCCTACAGGCTTAGACAGGTCCCTGTACACAGAAGGATCATCCAGACGTAATTCTTTTGAAGTGTAGTCCACAAGCACCCAAGGAAACACTGGATACTGACTGAGATCATTGTAGGTTCTCCCAGAGATGGTGTTTAGCTGCATTAGGTACTCAAAATTGGATATCTCCCTGTGGACCCACTTCTCTGTAAGCCCCGAGGCCCTAAGAAGGTTTGCGGGAGACCTGGCGCCGATGTAGTACAGATTACGTGGACGAAGTGACATGATTTTCTTGTATACTTTGTTACGAGTCTGAAAAACAAAAAGATACCATACCACGATATACTATTTCGACTAACTATATAGTGTTTCGTTTTAACACACAAATTAGCGGACTTCAAAAAGCACATATCAGAAACACCGAGCCTGGCAATTTAAAACAATGGAAAATACTGGCAAGACAATACTGGACACTACTGGACAATACTGGGAAGATGGGGGTGGATTTATGGTGTTTCTTTTGTATTATGCACTCCTCTTCTCACCTCAGATACGCGTCTCCCTCACCCCTCCTCCCACCCCACCCCCCTCAACATGCTCTTTTACTCACATACAATTGACGAAAAGCCCCCTATCAAAAAACTCCTGGAACGGGAAAGTACCACTTGGTAATCTTCTCCTAAGTAGTCTCCTCTTTCACGAAGTCATTTCAATCTTTAATTCTTCTGATGCAAGCCTAACATGAAACACAATCGAGGAAGAGTGACGGAGACTTTATACACTTAGTCAACAGGGCATCTAAACCTTAAATACTTCAAACCTTTAATACCTCCTTGTTGAAGTTCAAAAAATAGTTTGTCTGATCAATCAAAAATAACTCCAATGCGCTTCTTCTAAGATTGTGCCGCCTTAGATGTACTTCCCTCAGCTCAGTTAATGGCCAGTGGAAATCTCGTCCAGCGGGATCATCCGCGTAAAAATAGACATGCGTATTAGTGATTTCAAACTTTCCTGGTACTATGTCCATCAGGGTAATCAACTCACATTTTTCACCTTAAATAAAACAAAATACCTCATCATGTGCAGGTTCATACTAGTATCTTGTAAAAAGAAAAAATCTTCTGTCTACAGGATATAGGCAAGTATAATTTACACCACTGCAGTCAGAGATAGTGTCAACCAACCGTCAACTGTATGATGTCGATGATGCACAGTGGAGCGTTGAGTTGGAGGGTTTGAAGCTTTTATACATCCCATAACTTCATAACTATTTTGCTCACCCTCGCACGTTCCACAGTTCTTGTAATTCAACATAATTTTGGTTTATAAACCGCTTAGATTGGTCAGAAAACTCCACTCCCATGGTTTAGTAGCTTCCAGCTTCAAGCTACGACTTTTCGTTACGTAATATTATTACGACTTCTCTGCTGATACCACTATGCAAATATTATCATTCAATGATATTTAAACTAACCTAAAAGAGTTCTTTCTGTTTCCGAGATTGCGCGCATTCTCTCTCTGGTCGCTTTACCAGTCGGACTCCCAGGATCATCATCTTCAAGTTTGTCCTCGTCAACATTTTGTACCACAGCTTCCTTCGCGACACGCACGGGAACTGAAGCCACACGCGCGTCAACCTCGTCAGTGATGTTATCACGTGTGCGACTGGCATCAGTGTGAGGCGTGAATGTATAGTTTCGTTTAAATTTGAGGCGCATGCGCTGAAAATTTTCAGTGGATGAGAGTTTCCAATGCAATTCCTTTGGAAACCTGTAAGTAAAAGCAAACGAAAACAGCGAAGAATGCAAATCATCACTGAGACGAAACAAGGTTTTGTGATTTGATACAGTTTAAAGCAAACACATTCTCCCAACCGAATACTGACCACGTTTCTCGATTCAAGGGCTTACCCAACTCTTTTCAACGATCAATGAGAACTTGTGCACTTGACCCGAAAAAGAAAGCTCTTAAAAGATGAATTGACAATTGACAATAGTGGTTTAGTGTCTTTAAATCTCCAAGTTTTAAGTAGCCTGAGAAAACAGCTGACATTTGGCGACGCTTCCACCGGTTTCCCCACCAAATGACGTCTGAGAAAGGAGCGCAGAAATTCCATACTGATGACGCGTCATTACCCAGATCTGGGTGCTGACGCGTCATCAGCGCTCGTTTCTCAGTTGTCATTTGGCGGAGAAACCAGTGGTAGCGTCGGCTGTTTTCTCAGGTTAAGTTTTGAGTTCCAATTTTTTAACTTGGAGCTCAGGAATAATTCAGATGAGATTCGCATGCACCCCTTATACCAATGGAGACAAGACGGCAAGCAGTGGATCGAAAATGTCTCAATAAAAATCAAAGTGACAAGGATATTTAACAGAGAACTATTTTGTAACGCATTAACAATAAACCAACATACTTGCTACCCCATGGGGATCTCTCTGACATAAGCGTTCTTTTGAGTACGTTCCATTGGCGTGCGATGGCGTTTTTGTGATGTTCTTGTTGCACAGGTAAATTCTTCAAGCGTTCTCGCTGTGAGTCTTGAAGATGTTTGAACGGTCGGGTGATCTGTTCATCGAACTTTTCACGGCTCTCTTCACGTACTTTCTCTTTATTGTTCACGCTGACTGTCAGACCGGACAGGCAGTCCATAAGAAATCGGCCAGAGGCCAACGACGTTTTGGAGCTGAGAAATATATGAGTACATATGTCATTACCTAAAAAAACTTTGTCGAATAAAACAAAATTAGACTTCTTATTCTCGGTAATGACTGCGGGACTGTGTTCCATAACCAACACCCAACCCCATGCATTTGAAGGGAACCCATTTTCTCTCGCTAGCATTACAAAGCAACTCCCTCCAATACCTACCATGTTGTCACTCCCATCCCCGTCCTTTTGAAAGGCCTGTCGCCATTCATTTCCAGAAGTTAGAAAGCTAAGTAACTTTAGGATTGCGTGACGAGCCAAAAGAACGTTTGCGTGGGGGGCTATCCCAGACGTCGATTGTTTTGTCGGTTCATATTTCGAAGGTTCATAATATACAAGCATTGCCCAGTAAAGATGTAGTTTTTGCTCGTCCTGCGACTCCAATACAGTCAACTCTTTCTTAACGAACACCTCTACAGAGGCAGGGGGAGGGGGGCGGACACCTTCCTAAAACGCGGGGCACTTGGTGCTATTCCCAGTGGTGAAGAGGCAGTCTCATGTCATAAAAGTGGCGTTATATAAAAAAGCGAGAAGCAATTAACTTACAAAGCATTTTCGTATTGTTTCGTTGCAGGATTTATCTGCTGTTTTATCATTGCCTTAAGTTCTTCACTTTCCATCAATTGAAGAAAATCCTCCTGAGCCAGTAGTTGTGAGCGGTCAGCAGAAAATGTAGGAATGTAAATAGTCAGCGGTAGAGTTTCGTGGTATTTGAAAAGAAGTAAACGTAGGACTGGAACGATGAAGGTGTAATTCTCGCACTTTTCTGAAACGAATTGTAAAGATTTGTTTTGTTAGTAAGCTTTTTATAAACTATTAGCAAAACAAGTTACTTAACGCTTCCCTGGCATTCACAACATCACAGGCCTGATTTCGTTTGCAGTCTTTCGTTTCTTCCCATGTTTGTTCACAACAAAGTAGGACTCGGACCAAAGTAAAAGAATCGTCCCATAAGCTAAATGTTTACTAACTATGGTTGGAATTAGCCTATCTGAGCTAGGAGTAAAGGTTAAACATAAACATATTGCTAGTTTGTACCCAACGAAAACATCGGCTGACTAAGTATTAAGAGCAAGCTGAAACACGTCTGACTCTCATAACGATCGCTGGACTTGTTCACCCGATAACGATACGAACAGAGACGTGTAATCATCATCATCATCATCATCATCATCATCATCATCATCACTTTTATTTATACACGGTAAAAACAATCAGGCTAAATATATACAATATCCTAAAAATGTTTACAAACTATAGTCGACCTAGTCGTCTGATAGAGACCAGCAGTGAGACTGGAAACGACCACATCAGGGGTTGAATGATAAGACACTTGTTATACTCGATTAAGACAAAAATTTGAACATTCTCTCATATTTCCATTCATGTTTGAATTAGACTCTGTTTACCTCGCTAACACTACAAAACGCCTGGGTACTAGAACATCGGCTAATGTACCTTTCTGTCTTGATGCATCAAATGCTTGATACAAGTGTCCGATAATGTAACACAGCTCTCCTTGAGAAGAAATCTTGCGGGCTTTCAACAGTTTGGTAAGCTTAGAGGAAGCTGTAGCACAATATTCAGTTTGTGGCTGTGACATAAACGCCAACAGAATTCGCACCCCAACCTGGCTCATTTCCTCCCATTCCACATTGTCCTCACTCTCATCCCATACATTCAGTACTTCAAGGAGAAGAACAACATTTTCAACAAGCTGATGAAAAAGAAGACAAATTTTAATGGATTAAACCATACATCTGAAAGCTTAACGACTCTGACTGGAAAAATCAAACCTTTTATGCGACGGCTGATCAATTTAGATTTCTGGGAAATTGTCCGGTTACCCCCCCCCCCCCCCCCCCCCCCCCCCCCTTTTTTCCTAAAAAAAAAGAAAGTGTTAATCCTCTCTTGGGGGGGGGGAAAGGGGGGGTTATCCCAGAAAAAAAAAATAATACCAACAAAAAAAAAAAAAAAAAACCCACAATCACACCACCCGTTTCTGCAACCCCAACACATCGTGAATCAAAGGAAAAAAAAAAATTTTAAAAAAAACGAAAAAAAAAAAAAAAAATTTTTAATGGATTAACCACAAATCTGAAAACTCTAAACCCCTTCGCGGAAAAAAAAAAACTTTTTTTCGCCGGGTGTACAAATTTAATTTTTGGGGAATTTTCCCGTTTCCCCCCCCCCCCCCCCCCCTCCCGCCAACATTTTGTCCTAAGTAAGAAGTAAGTGTTAATCCTGGCTTAGGGCAGGGGTAAGTGGGCAGTATTCCAGAAACCTAAACTGATCCCAACAAACAAACAAACAGACAACCTACTTTAACACTCCAGGTGTCTGCGGACTCGTCATTTCCTGCTCCAGCAATTCCAGCTAAAAGAAGAACAAAATAACACTAAGTCACATTTGCCTTGCCGTCTTAATTACCTAAGAACCCTTTACAGTGATAAATTTTACCAGGTTCCTACGAAACAGTTTACCCTGAAGAGAGTATAACAACATATTTCTCCTAATGATGGGCTCCCTGTGCGGTGATATACTACCTGGAGTAAACAAGAAGTCCTCGACCAGCCGCATGACCATAAGCGCGTTTTGCGTCTCAGCCTCCCCTGTCTGTCCCGACACCTTGATGTCCTGTACGGCTCCCTGAAGACACAGTTCCAGAAGGCGCCTCTCAACAACGCGAAAAGGGACCAAGAAGGTTTCAGCTGAGGAAATAATACTCACTGCTGCTATGGCTTGACCGCGCACCTATGAAACGCAAGAATACTGCAGTCACCATCTTGCAAACGTCTTCTACTGATACAGGTTTTGGAATAAGCACTTTAACCAAGACGATTGGAATCTTTACTAGAATGTACAATTTAACAAGTTATTGTAGCTGTCGAAGAAACACTGTTTAAAATTAAATGGGAGGAGATCGACTGAATGAGAAAATGAATGAAGAAAAGAAATGCAAGAATGAAAAAGTTTGGAGGCAGTCCTTTCCTATTTCCTACCATGAAGGACTGTTTTTACCTTCCAATCATATTCTCTGAATCCTTCCACTCCTTTCCACATCACTCTGAACACGATTTCCAGCACCGTGTCGATTAAGTCTTCTTCTCCCCGCCTCTTTTCTTCCTTTACGTCAGCATTATGATTGCTTACGTCACTGGAGCCATGTGGCCTGCCAAAAGGGCCCGTGATCTGTCTGAGCAGCGTAACATGCCACCCATATTCTTTAGCACATCGTGTAAGGCTGAGGTGGTTGGCATCAAGTGACCGTAGAATCTTAAGAGAAAGTTAAAACATTTTTTTCGCAAATCTGTTCAAGCACAACAATAACTTATGCTTCGAAAAGGTGGTGACCTTGACTTGAAACTTCTGGAGAATCTGCTTGGCATGAATCCAAACTAAAATCTTGGCGGAAAAGATCGTAGAATAAAAAGGGCCAAAGAGGAAAGAAAGCGCAAAGCCACGAACGACTGTGGAGGTTAACCTTCAGACACCATATATAGAGTACTGATTGATCCAACGGTGCCACCCTGAGAATTATGGTACCATGGCCAAATAATACAAGGGGTTCAAGAAAGAGACTGAGAGGTGAAAATTGTGAGAGTGAAGTATATGACATTATGTTACAAATATAACAAATAATTACCTACAACAAAGTTTTACCATGTCTTACCATGTGATTGACAAGAAGCTTAGTTTCCAAATCTCCATTTTCGATCATTTCCAATACAGCCAAGACCACCTGATAATGCATCAAAACATCCACGCCTTTACTTTCATCATGTTCGGATACACCAAGTCTGAGGAGACTTTTCACAAGGGCTTGAGACACGTCATCAGACAGTTTCTCTGTCACAGCAGACATCCCAATTGGCTTCAAGTGCCAGTAAGGTCTGTTACCCTCTGGTACACTGTGTGATGTCATAATATCAGCCATGAGTTTGAGGATCTTAAGACGAAGTTCTTCGTTCCTGTGGTTGATGAGAAGAGTCACAAAAACTGGGATGAACCTGGGATCTGTTCAGAAATGCAGAAAAAAAAAATAACAAGCAAATTAAGACAGAAGGCTCAGTCCGTCTATTTATTTATTTATTTTCATTGTTTGGTATGTTTCCGAAGCAGAAAAATAATCTTTTCTGTAGTTTGTACAACTGTTTCTTTCACACATGTATACTAGCTACTAAAGTCTCCTCTCTCTCAACGGACGCCTCTTTAAGACGGATACCTCGCTAAAACAGACACCTAGAGCTGGTCCCTGCCTTTCTTTACTCCTTTTAGATGACTCTCTATAAGATGGACATCTCTCTAAGACAAACACTTGGTACTGGTTCCAAAGGTGTTTGTCTTCCAGACAGTTGACTGTTAAGTCATTAAGACAAAACGCTCATGTACTATGGACACCCAAAGGTGTCTGTCCTAGAGAGAGTTGACTGTAAAGTCATTAAGAGAAAACGCCCATGTAATATGGACACCTTTCCAAGGACCGCACTAATGGGTGACCTTACTTACGTGTTTCTAAGTTGAACTCTCTTTAAGGCGGCAAACTGTACCTGATAGTCGTTTAGCCATCTTGCTCTTGGTAGCTCGTTCACAGAGTGACAACAAAACATCTATTACTTCTTGGATTTGTTGAGGATCAGTGACGCATGTCAAATACTCGACTATGTACCAGACCTCCTCTCTTTTGACTTTTTCCGTCAAGTAAAACTTAATTAACCCTAAAATGGGATCAGACAATAAACATGACAGCAAAGTAAAGCTGTGTAGTAACAACAATTCGAGAAACTGTGTCGACTCTCTACGATCCAACAAAGAGCGATTATCTGGTTAGAAACCACAGTTAGTAATTAAAAGCACCAATTTGAAAACATCTGAAGGCTCAAGTGTATGACCTGACACTGGGAATACAGCCTTGCCGAGTCTTTTGCACGTTCCAATAATCATTTGCGTGAAATTCTTTTGGGGTACACAGGACCCTATTTATACACCCATGTTACATAATTATGGAAGAATTTATATACTTGGCCCTATGGTAAGTCATCTACTAACAACACGACAAAACTAGTCCAGATGCGATGTTAAGCAGACAAGTCGCAGTCAACAAATTTAAGAAAATATTATAGTAAAGTCGGACACATTGTCGTCTCGTCATAAACATCACATGACTCTCAAATATATATAAGGGGATGAGAACCAAACCAAACATTTTATATACCGCGGTGTCAATCTACACCATAACAAAGAGAATATGGAAGTTTTCTATTCTAGAGCTAAGTAAACCTGTCGTATAGTTTATGGTTTAAACGCTTACCAATGTTTTTTAATGATGTTTATACCAACCTAAAAGAGATGCTCTGATGATCTTGATCTCCTCTTGAGGCAACTGTACTTGGTTGTCATGTTTTCGACCAGCGGAATTACTTATGGACGCATCCTCACCATAGTATTGGCTTATAATGTCAAGAAAAAATCTAACACCATACTCTGAACGAAATCTAACGGGATTATCTTTGACTTGTGTTGATATAAACTGAATATGTCCTATTCTAACATTAAAATCACTTGAGCTCCAGATACGAAAATCAAACAGGAGATTTTCATAAATACTCTGCAGAATAGTTTCGTTATTCACGCATTCCACCAACGCTTGTAGCGACCTCAAAACTTGAACGTTTATGAACTGAATGTCCATATTTCTTAATATGCTACCCACATAAGAAAGTGTCTCTGCGAATTCCTCATCTTTGATATCGTGACCTGTTAGAATACTTAGAAGCAAAAATAAGAATAACGCAACTCCGTTACAGTTTTGTGACTTGCAGAGTCTGTATAAGTCTTTTTTGTAAACGCGAAGGTCGAAGTTATCCCTTATAAAAACCCACTCCTCCTCCTCTTTTTCCTCTGCGCATGCACTGTTGCTTTCTTCAACACTGGGCAGACTACTTTCACTTTGATCTTCATCAGATGTGCAGCTGGGAGACCTGTGACATCAATGATATACATGAGTTAGACTGACAACCCAAGAACATAACAATAACGTGACTTGTATTTTTCTAAGCACCCAACCTCTTAAGATCCAGTAAATCAGACAAATACCTTTCCAAAATTCCTGCCACTTTTTCGTCTCTTGACTTTTCAAGATCAAATAGTTTCAGTTGTTCACTGTTGCCATGGCAACGCGTTGATGGCTGAAAGTACGAGATCTGCTCTAATAAAGGTAAAAATATCTTCATGCCTCCAATACAACGAAGAACATCCTGAAAATGACAAAGAAAATTGAAAATATCAGTGATGATGATGATGACGATGAATGATGATGATAATGATGAGAAGATGACGATGATGGCGACAGCAACAACAAAGAGTTAAGTTTGAGTAGTAAACAGGGAATTACTATATCCCATGTCAGGCGTTCCTATATGACAATGACCGTAAGGGGCACAATAAAGTCATACGTTCAATCCCTCAAACTCAAATCATTTCATTACCNACAAAGAAAATTGAAAATATCAGTGATGATGATGATGACGATGAATGATGATGATAATGATGAGAAGATGACGATGATGGCGACAGCAACAACAAAGAGTTAAGTTTGAGTAGTAAACAGGGAATTACTATGTCCCATGTCAGGCGTTCCTATATGACAATGACCGTAAGGGGCACAATAAAGTCATATGTTCAATCCCTCAAACTCAAATCATTTCATTACCTTCATGTCCCAAGTAGTGCATCTATGGCCAGTTAACCTATTAAAAGTAGAAAAGTCAGAAAGATATCCTGAAAGATGCGTTGCCTTACATTTAACTGAGGTCGTTACAGTTTAACGGTACATTGTTTAACGTTTGGCATAAGCACACAAATCTTACAGAAACACAAAACAAATCTCCTCGCAAAAGGGCTAACACTATCACTCTACGTAATACGATAGTTGCAGGTAGCACCTCTGGTCACACATAGGATGAATCAAGCGTGGATCAATTCATTCACGTAATATTGCATCAATATTGACAAATACCTGCCATTCAACTGTTCTCGTCCCGGCTGAACTGGTGTTAAGTCACAACACATATGTTCACGGCCCGCCTGGAAGCAAAAAGGGCAAACTAAGTTATTTCTGATACGGGTGGGTTCTCGAATACCGTAGTAATGAAGAGGTAATGCTAGAACAGGTAACTTCATGATCCATCTTAAAAATCGCAATAAAATAAAACAACAATACGCCTTTCTGGAACGCACGTGTCCACTGTTTAAGTTGGTCAGACGGGTTTATCTGGTTTTGGTTGATAAAAACTCCACCTGAAAGCTTGCCATCAAAAATTCGGGGGATGTACAAACTCAAGGATGACTACAACATTTCTTATGGTGCATGTAGGGCAAAAGGACGCATAAAAGGGTTTGCAGCGAAAGTACGCAAAGGAAAGAACGGAGTAAGGAGTGTGATGGCTTAAATTATTGTGCCAACTAAGAGAACCTGCACTAACCTTGGAATTGTAAAAAAGAACAAGTTTTAAAGATAAGTCAAATAAAGCTTGCTGCGTAGAGGTAGCAGCATCAACCGGTTGAAACAGGTTGATGTCGTTTGGACCTGAAAGAAACCAATAAAAACGAGTTACAGGAAAAAAGAAAAGTGATGGCCACGTAAGTGTGTTTAAGAACTAATTTAAATATCACGCAGCTAAACGTTGAGAAAAACAGATCAGATTGTAGTCATTATGGGTCTTCTGTAAATCCTTGTTGGCAACCAGGTTCAATTAGCTTTAGGTCTGCATCTGTATAATGTGAATTATGACTTTGTTCCCAAAACCCAATCTAGTCTAGTCTAATCAAGTCCAATCCATATCACGGAAATGCCATCACCATCTTGGCTGCTGAACTACAAAGTTGCATAATGCTTAAGCTTGGTGATCTCTTAGTACCATACGTACATACCTTTTCCTCAGCTAATAAGTAGTATTTGGTGGGCAAAAGTAAATATTCCTTGCTTACNTAGAGGTAGCAGCATCAACCGGTTGAAACAGGTTGATGTCGTTTGGACCTGAAAGAAACCAATAAAAACGAGTTACAGGAAAAAAGAAAAGTGATGGCCACGTAAGTGTGTTTAAGAACTAATTTAAATATTACGCAGCTAAACGTTGAGAAAAACAGATCAGGTTGTGGTCGTTATGGGTCTTCTGTAAATCCTTGTTGGCAACCAGGTTCAATTAGCTTTAGGTCTGCCTCTGTATAATGTGAATTATGACTTTGTTCCCAAAACCCAATCTAGTCTAGTCTAATCAACTCCAATCCATATCACGGAAATGCCATCACCATCTTGGCTGCTGAACCACAAAGTTGCATAATGCTTAAGCTTGGTGATCTCTTAGTACCATACGTACATACCTTTTCCTCAGTTAATAAGTAGTATTTGGTGGGCAAAAGTAAATATTCCTTTGCTTACTTTGATAAACGAAATGTGATGCTTTACGTTATCATTACCTGCCGCATGCAATGCAGTGATGGAGTTTTCTTGAAGTCCTTCACTGAAGAGACACACAGGACCCAGCTGACCCTGTAATGAGGTTGGAACACCCCAAACATAATCCTGTGAACCTGCTGAGATGGTGGAGCAGTGCGGTAATGCGTTGCTGTCTGATGCGGAGCCAGAGAAAGAGAACGGAAACTTGAACTGTGGAGTAGCTTTAACATCCAGTTCCTTGGGTGAGCAGATAGTCTGAGGGACTCCAAATCCAATCTGACATACAGCAAGGTCCTAAAACATGTACAGTGAAAACTGACATCAAATACAAACAAACCTCCCTGCTTAGTCAGTTAGTGGTCAATCATGTAAAGTGACTGTTCCAAAGTGTGATCATTCGAAGGAAAACTATTGAGCAGCACTTTTCCTGAACAACTGTTGATTGTGTATTGTGGTGTTCAAGGTGGTCCTATCTCTAGAGCCTGTAAAGTGGACATTTGCTGGATAGTACATGATGTACCAACAGGGCAGTATAAAGCTATACCAGCCAACTCTCACGCCTTAGGCTTGAGTCTCACGCCTGCCGGTTGAAAACTTCGATCTCACGCTGGCTCACGCTTGCGAGCCAATTTCTCACGCCTGATTGAAAAATGTGAGTTGTTTCCGTCTTGCTAGACACAATTTCCAAAAATATGTTAACTCAGACCCATGTAAGGAACGAAAACCATGTGTAAGTGGATACCGTAAGCGTTTTCTCGATAACTTCGCCTTCGGCAGACTTCGGAAGACTTCAGACGTCTTCGGAAGACTTCGTACTTCTTCGAGAATCTTCGGAAATGATCGTGTCGTCTTCAAAAATCCCAGCACTCCCAGGATAAAAATCTCACGCTTATATTTCAGAAAAAGTTGGCAGGTATGTAAAGCTTGCCAAGGTATTCTGTATTCTAGCTTTTGTACTTGTCTTGTCATGAGTCATTGACAACTAAAGAACTCTAATATACCTCATTGAGAGATGGAAACTTTAAGGGACAATTAATCTTCAGTACACCATCTATATAAACAGAAACCGTGCTTGGGCTAAAAGGACGACGAGAAGACATATGGGCAATTGCCACAGAATGCTGAAAAAAAAAAAAAAAAGTCAAGAACTACTGACAATCATGGAAGGTTCTGTGCAATATTACATGAAAAATAGCTTGTAAACTTTAAGGTACATATAATTATATAAGGAAACGTAAATGTGAAAATACTAGGGATATTAATGCCACTCCTCCTTGGGATGGGATGTTAATACGTTTATTTTGCAGTACTTTGGTTCATTAGAGAAGCGATGATGTCTCAGCTGATATCTGTCATTTCAAGTGTATGGCAACAAACACGCTGAACAAAGGCTGATGCAGTAACATGTAGCAACGTATTTATCCTAACAAAGGTATGTTATATGTCACCTGGAGTGCCTTATGCCAAGAGCTAAACAGTGTCATAACCATACATATTTGAAATTGACAGACATGCTTAGTATTGAACATACCCATTTGCGATCACAAAGCTGGCATACAGGCACAGTTACAGTTGTGTATTCTTTTTTATTGCAGACAGCCACGATTAGATGACCAGTGGTAGAAAAAAATGCCTCCACACCTGCTCCAGAGCTAGTAAAAAAGCTGAGGAAAAAAATTATTTGTATAAAACTCAAGCATTACAATAATAAAATTATGAAATGGCTGTAAGACTGATATCATAGGTTTGATAGATCTTTACTGTTACTTCCTATAATCTACTGAAGGAGTTGAAAGCTTGGTTCTCTTTTCAAACGATTTCTAAACATTCCATGCCCAAAAGGAATGTCAATTTCCCGAGGAGTTCTTTGTTTTAATTCTCTTTGTTTTTCAAAGTTAGTTGTGTACTGAATTTGTGAACCAACCTATACAAGTTTCTTCTATAGTGAAAAATCTTTCTTTCAGAGCTTGCTTTTCTCTTTCCTTTCATCTCCTTCATATCCAAAGGCCCCAGGCACACCCATGCATGGAATGTAAAACTGTTACCAGGCCATTTCTGCAAGCCTGGAACTGATATGCCCTAAAACACAGTTACAAAATGTTAGTGCATAAGCTGTAAACATTGACTTAAAGTAACCCAGTTTCTTTGATCTCCTATATTACACATAGCAACAAAGAACATGTCCTAAGGAAACTCTAGTCAACCATTGGGTTTACCATTTATATACATGTAAGGGGCCCCTAGCCATACCATAGGAAAGAGCCAATAGGGAGCAAAATTTCTTGACTAAACAAAACACAATTATCATTATTCAAAGGCATCTTTCCAGAATATCTTAAGAAAACTGCGTCTTCAAAACTATTAGCAACATTAACTGAATAATTTTCAAAAAATAGTTGTGCCTGCCGGAAAGGTCTTAATTATTAACTTGCTCATCAAAATTCACCAAAAAACATCATATAGGGCAGATTTGTATGCACTGTAAGTGTCTTATCACACAAGAATGTTTTTGAAATGTTCCTGTTTGTCCTAATTTCCATTTGATAGCCATGTATATGACAACTTAAGCAAGAGTAAATTTTTGTTTTTGTTTTATACTCACAGCAGAAGGGTGGTTAAGATCAAAGAAATGTTTTGATCTCAAGCGGCTGCTGCTAAAAGAAATCTTTACAAGTGCTTGAAGTAACCTGTAAGCAAAAGCAACCTGCAAAAAAAGCAAACTTTATTAGCTTCATATGACATGTACAGTGAACCTGAAAAGAGTAAACCCTCTAATAAGGACATGTGTAAATTTCCTCTCATTTCTATTCAGAATTCGGGTAAAACTCATGATATTTTGGATAATATTATCAAAATCAGCTTTTGCAGATGTTCTTTCAGTAGTTGTTTTAATTTTCTCTGGGAACAAAAGATGCCCAGAGTTGATATTCATGGGGAGGAAATCAAGACCATCTGATAACAAAAAACGCAAGTTTCTACTTAGTGCAGTTTAGGCTAACAGTGTATTTATTAACCTGCTGGCCATTCTCAAGGGGTGAGAAAAGGCTGATCATCTTTTTCAGTTCAGATGACGTTACAGAGTGAGAGCCAATAGCTTCCAGGATACCAATCAGGGATTCTACAAGGAGAATAAATGCATAACGAAATGCAGCGATTAGCAAATCTAATTGTCGGCACCAAAATCAGTACCAAAGGTGTTAAGGCATTTACTATGAGCCTATGAAGTCATTATGTATAATAACTTGGTGCAAACAAGGTACTAAAACATACACTGCAAAGCATCTTTACTTTTCTTTTTATTTATAACATACCTGCCCAGAGGTTGTCAATATTCTGTGTATCTCCCTCCAGTATAGTAACCACTTCGCTAAACACCCCATTTGTACTACATAACATGGCATTATGTGTAGAAAACCTGCACAAGCGTCTAATAATCTCTGTCACATATCTAGCACAAAAAAGTGAGTAAGCCATTAGTGACACATATGCCCCTAAAAATGACCCCTACATGTAGATCTGGAAATTAAAACAATCTGTCCAACTGGATGTAATGATAGAACTCACAAATGAGCAGTGGAATGCATTGAAGCTGTCAAATGTTCAAACATTCACCATATTTGACAGGAAGTAATAAAACAACAACTGGGATTGCAGGACGTTAACTACAATCTTACCCATACCCCCACCCCCATTTGATTAAGTCAAGGTCGTACCACTTACCTGAGCATTCAATGAAGCAACAAAAACTAATTCAGTCAACCCTTTTCTACCGCTATAAGGAAAACAGTTTCCTTGGACCTACAAAAATTATAAGCTTTCTACAATTCCTGGCTCTTTGGTACCAAAACTTAGAGCTGCAGAGTGAATACTCACTCTGTCCGTTTGGTGTCCATATTAAGGACTGTGCTGTCAGCTGTCTCTAAATGGACACCTCCATACAAAACAGACTCCTAGAAATGGTCTCTGGCAAACACCTCTGCAAGACAGACACCTTCATAACAAGACACAAAGGGTTGGTTGCTGCCATTCTTTAGGTCTTGTTTTTTTAAAACTCTTTATGAGGCAGACCTCTCTCTCTAATGGACATTTAACTGGTGCTAGCTCTGATAGTGCACATCTTAGAGTTGACCTTAATTTGTTTATTTATTGTAAGTTACCTTTTCCTTTCCACTGATAAAGATGGTAACCAACTCAAAAGTAATAAAACAACATCCACATTGTTTATCACTTTACTTCCTTCAGTGTACACTCCTTCCACTACCTAGAGTGTAAAGTTGGAACAAAGTGACAGGCAATTCAGCAAAGAACTTGTCAAGCAGCTATATAAGGACTTTAAGATTGTGGCTTACTAATGACCAACGGTCTGTTAACAAACTGTCAACAGTTAGGCATCTTTCAGCCAACAAAATGACAGAGAGGAGCTGATAAGAAGGTGGAGGCTTGACAAGCATCATCAGGGTGCTATATAAGACCAAGCAGCTGGCAAACTTTGGCAGCTACCTACTCCTTTGTTTTGGAGATTAACGTATGATAACAAAAGTGGAAAAAAGAAAAAATTAAATTTACAACAACAACAAAATTGAATCATGGGTGGGGATGGTTACTTACCCAGTTAAAAAGCAGTTGAAAAAATTCTTCTTTTGGGGATTCAAGTCTTTTCAGATAATGGCACAGTTTTTCAAAGCTCACGCTAACCTTAAAAACCTCCTGGAAAGAGAAATTATTCACTTCATTCCTTGGACTCAAAAACTTAACAATTAAGAAAACATAATAAATGTACAAATACAAATAACAATTGTACTTTTCAAGGAATACATGTAACTTGGGTGATGCTGGTTATAAATGTTTTTTCTTCCTTGGTTCAGTGGATTGACAGCTCTGCTATTAATTACAAACCAGGGACATCATTCACTACTAGACAAATTTTAACAACTACCTGGGCAGCAGGTGATGAATGTGTGATTCTCTGTATGGCCAGCATACAGCTCTGATAAAGCCTACTTTGATCATCAGCACTCTGACACTGTTTGAAAAAAAAGGTGCAGAAGAACACAGTAAATGCTGACAAGTCTCTCTGACATGTACAGACACACTTGAACTTATTTTCTGTACTTAGAGGACAACCTCTGCCTTTGTAATGCAGACAGAGTACCTATTATAGTTAGTTACTTTCACAATTGCAGGAAAAATATTTTTAAAGAACTAATATGATTAATCTTTGGGTCACACCAGGGCCTAGTTGTTAGAAGGCTGAATTTCACAAACCCAGGGTTAAAATCTATCCTGGTTTCCTTTTGTTTTGTTCATCTTGGATAATTTTCTCTATTCTTTAGAGCATTCGACCATCAAATCGTAGACAAGACATTTGCCTTTTATCCTTTTATATCTGAATTCAAACTTTGCACTTACCCTGGGTTATCTTAACCCAGCTGCTTTGAACAGCCTGGCCCAGACCATTAATTTTAGCAGAACACAAACACAGTTCACTCCATCATAAACGCTCATTATAACTCACGCAGAGTACCACTGTATATTTGAAATTGACAGACATGCTTAGTATTGAACATACCCATTTGCGATCACAAAGCTGGCATACAGGCACAGTTACAGTTGTGTATTCTTTTTTATTGCAGACAGCCACGATTAGATGACCAGTGGTAGAGAAAAATGCCTCCACACCAGCTCCAGAGCTAGTAAAAAAGCTGAGGAAAAGGTTAGTTAATTATTTGTATAAAACTCAAGCATTACAATAATAAAATTATAAAATGGCTGTAAGACTGATATCATAGGTTTGATAGATCTTTACTGTTACTTCCTATAATCTACTGAAGGAGTTGAAAGCTTGGTTCTCTTTTCAAACGATTTCTATACATTCCATGCCCAAAAGGAATGTTAATTTCCCAAGAAGTTCTTTGTTTTAATTCTCTTTGTTTTTCAAAGTTAGTTGTGTAATGAATTTGTGAACCAACCTATACAAGTTTCTTCTATAGTGAAAAATCTTTCTTTCAGAGCTTGCTTTTCTCTTTCCTTTCATTTCCTTCATATCCAAAGGCCCCAGGCACACCCACGCATGGAATGTAAAACTGTTACCAGGCCATTTCTGCAAGCCTGGAACTGAGATGCCCTAAAACACAGTTACAAAATGTTAGTGCATAAGCTGTAAACATTGACTTAAAGTAAGCGAGTTTCTTTGATCTCCTATATTGGCACATAGCAACTAAGAACATGTCCTAAGGAAACTCTAGTCAACCATTGCGTTTACCATTTATATGCATGTAAGGGGCCCCTAGCTATACCATAGGAAAGAGCCAATAGGGAGGAAAGTTTCTTGACTAAACAAAACACAATTATCATTATTCAAAGGCATCTTTCCAGAATATCTTAAGAAAACTGCATCTTTAAAACTATTAGCAACATTAACTGAATAATTTTCAAAAAATAGTTGTGCCTGCCGGAAAGGTCTTAATTATTAGCTTGCTCATCAAAATTCACCAAAAAACATCACATATGGGAGATTTGTATGCCCTGTAAGTGTCTTACACAAGAATGTTTTTGAAATGTTCCTGTTTGTCCTAATTTCCATTTGATAGCCATGTATATGACAACTTAAGCAAGAGTAAATTTTTATTTTTGTTTTATACTCACAGCTAAAGGGTGGTTAAGATCAAAGAAATGTTTTGATCTCAAGCGGCTGCTGCTAAAAGAAATCTTTACAAGTGCTTGAAGTAACCTGTAAGCAAAAGCAACCTGCAAAAAAAGCAAACTTTGTTAGCTTCACAGGACATGTACAGTTGACCTGAAAAGAGTAAAGCCTCTAATAAGAATCTTATATTAAAATTCTCTTGTTATATTCGGAAATGATTGTCTTGAAGGGACATGTGTAAATTTCCTCCCGTTTCTATTCAGAATTCGGGTAAAACTCATGATATTTTGGATAATATGATCAAAATCAGCTTTTGCAGATGTTCTGTCAGTAGTTGTTTTAATTTTCTCTGGGAACAAAAGATGCCCAGAGTTGATGTTCATGGGGAGGAAATCAAGACCATCTGATAACAAAAAACGCAAGCTTCTACTTCCCTGCAGTTTAGGCTAACAGTGTATTTATTAACCTGCTGGCCATTCTCAAGGGGTGAGAAAAGGCTGATCATCTTTTTCAGTTCAGATGACGTTACAGAGTGAGAGCCAATAGCTTCCAGGATACCAATCAGGGATTCTACAAGGAGAATAAATGCATAAGGAAATGCAGTGATTAGCAAATCTAATTGTTGGTACCAAAATCAGTACCAAAGGTGTTAAGGCATTTACTATGAGCCTATGAAGTCAATATGTATAATAACTTGGTGCAAACAAGGTACTAAAACATACACTGCAAAGCATCTTTACCTCTTTTTATTTATAACATTGTGATTTACAGTCATATACCTGCCCAAAGGTTGTCAATATTCTGTGTATCTCCCTCCAGTATAGTAACCACTTCGCTAAACACCCCATTTGTACTACATAACATGGCATTATGTGTAGAAAACCTGCACAAGCGTCTAATAATCTCTGTCACATATCTAGCACAAAAAAGTGAGTAAGCCATTAGTGACACATATGCCCCTAAAAATGACCCCTACATGTAGATCTGGAAATTAAAACAATCTGTCCAACTGGATGTAATGATAGAACTCACAAATGAGCAGTGGAATGCATTGAAGCTGTCAAATGTTCAAACATTCACCATATTTGACAGGAAGTAATAAAACAACAACTGGGATTGCAGGACGTTAACTACAATCTTACCCATACCCCCACCCCCATTTGATTAAGTCAAGGTCGTACCACTTACCTGAGCATTCAATGAAGCAACAAAAACTAATTCAGTCAACCCTTTTCTACCGCTATAAGGAAAACAGTTTCCTTGGACCTACAAAAATTATAAGCTTTCTACAATTCCTGGCTCTTTGGTACCAAAACTTAGAGCTGCAGAGTGAATACTCACTCTGTCCGTTTGGTGTCCATATTAAGGACTGTGCTGTCAGCTGTCTCTAAATGGACACCTCCATACAAAACAGACTCCTAGAAATGGTCTCTGGCAAACACCTCTGCAAGACAGACACCTTCATAACAAGACACAAAGGGTTGGTTGCTGCCATTCTTTAGGTCTTGTTTTTTTAAAACTCTTTATGAGGCAGACCTCTCTCTCTAATGGACATTTAACTGGTGCTAGCTCTGATAGTGCACATCTTAGAGTTGACCTTAATTTGTTTATTTATTGTAAGTTACCTTTTCCTTTCCACTGATAAAGATGGTAACCAACTCAAAAGTAATAAAACAACATCCACATTGTTTATCACTTTACTTCCTTCAGTGTACACTCCTTCCACTACCTAGAGTGTAAAGTTGGAACAAAGTGACAGGCAATTCAGCAAAGAACTTGTCAAGCAGCCATATAAGGACTTTAAGATTGTGGCTTACTAATGACCAACGGTCTGGTAACAAACTGTCAACAGTTAGGCATCTTTCAGCCAACAAAATGACAGAGAGGAGCTGATAAGAGTGTGGAGGCTTGACAAGCATCATCAGGGTGCTATATAAGACCAAGCAGCTGGCAAACTTTGGCAGCTACCTACTCCTTTGTTTTGGGGATTAACGTATGATAACAAAAGTGGAAAAAAGAAAAAATTAAATTTACAACAACAACAAAATTGAATCATGGGTGGGGATGGTTACTTACCCAGTTAAAAAGCAGTTGAAAAAATTCTTCTGTTGGGGATTCAAGTCTTTTCAGATAATGGCACAGTTTTTCAAAGCTCACGCTAACCTTAAAAACTTCCTGGAAAGAGAAATTATTCACTTCATTCCTTGGACTCAAAAACTTAACAATTAAGAAAACATAATAAATGTACAAATACAAATAAAAATTGTACTTTTCAAGGAATACATGTAACTTGGGTGATGCTGGTTATAAATGTTTTTACTTCCTTGGTTCACTGGATTGACAGCTCTGCTATTAATTACAAACCAGGGATATCATTCACTACTAGACAAATTTTAACAACTACCTGGGCAGCAGGTGATGAATGCGTGATTCTCTGTATGGCCAGCATACAGCTCTGATAAAGCCTGCTTTGATCATCAGCACTCTGACACTGTTTGAAAAAAAGGTGCAGAAGAACACAGTAAATGCTGACAAGTCTCTCTGACATGTAAGGACACACTTGAACTTATTTTCTGTACTTAGAGGACAACCTCTGCCTTTGTAATGCAGACAGAGTACCTATTATAGTTAGTTACTTTCACAATTGCAGGAAAAATATTTTTAAAGAACTAACATGATTAATCTTTGGGTCACACCAGGGCCCAGTTGTTAGAAGGCTGAATTTCACAAACCCAGGGTTAAAATCTATCCTGGTTTCCTTTTGTTTTGTTTATCTTGGATAATTTTCTCTATTCTTTAGAACATTCGACCATCAAATCGTAGACAAGGCATTTGCCTTTTATCCTTTTATATCTGAATTCAAACCTTGCACTTACCCTGGGTTATCTTAACCCAGCTGCTTTGAACAGCCTGGCCCAGACCATTAATTTTAGCAGAACACAAACACAGTTCACTCCATCATAAACGCTCATTATAACTCACGCAGAGTACCACTGTTGCATGGATACAATAGTATACTTGTTTACCAAGTTGTAATGTTAGAAAAAAATTATCCCAGTATTTATTACAACTTAATATTTTAACATAACGCTCACTGACTGACCTCATAGTCTAATACAGACATGATATGCTCAAAGCATCCTACTCCAACAAATACAGCCTAGGGTAAACAATATTAAAAACACACACAAAATCACAGTGGAATTAGTAGCAGTATTATAGTAGGCGGAAACAATTTTGCATACATCTTAAGAGAAACAGGATCTTATGAAAAGAAGTACATGCATACCTGCAGTTCTGCATAGTTGTTACACTCCAGGATCCTTGGAATAGCATCTGTAAGCAGCAGGGAAAAAAACAATGATGAGGAAAGAAAATATCAGATATATATATATGGCCTCACCAGAGTTTATTATTGTACTAGTACATGGTCTATTACCTTTTTTTACAATAATTTATTATTACCATAACATTATACCATAATTAGTCTTAAAAAAGTAGTGTAAATAATATCTTACCAAGCATACACAGAGTCTTGGCAAAATGTACTGGAGATTCATGGCATTTGTCCCTTAACCAAGACAACAAAATTAATAAACAAACTAAGATCAGAATAACATATGATGATAATGTCAAAAAATTCAACTGAGTATAAGACAGGAGAAAGCTGCAGGCCTCGATGATTATAACAACTGGGTGATCTGTCAGCAGCTCAGTGAATAATTTTAAACAGTCATGTATCTCATACCTCTGACTAAGAATTTCAAGAAATGTCTTTAACAATGAAGGTGTATCCAACAGACACTAAGGATTGAGGAAAAAAATATTGACACCAAACAAATCAGTTAAACTGGCATGATTCACTCAACTAAAATTTCTCGACATTCTGTTTTAGAAATGAAAAGGGAAAGGGCAACTTTCAGTAAACCAGACCAACCACTGCTTGGTTTGACTATTTTTCCAAGACACTTCCTGAGTTGGACCTGATCATTCCATGTTTAGTATTGGACCCCACTTTTTGGAAAATTATGTTTGTTGAACCATCACTGTGCCTAAATTCAAAATCAAACCAAGGTAGTACCACAGTGGAGTGTTTAAGCCCTATTAACTTCCAAATAACCAAACTACAATAGACCATTTTACAGTTGTGGGCTTAGTGTCCGTTACCTTTGAGTGAACTTGAGGCTGAGGTTGACATTGTTTTGATACAAGCCCCCTCTCTTTTCTAATGTAAATTCTTTGCTTAAAAAATACTAGTTGGCCTAAGAACAGCGTTATTTACATGGTAAAGCAGGAAGGGTTGTATCAAAACCCGGGGGGGGGAGGTACTCCCATACATTACCTATACGGGTATGTGCTGCCCAACGGGGTCGTGATTTTGAAGCTCCTGATTTAGAACAGGGTATCCATTTCAGAGGCGTTTTCTAGAACGGGGTATAAAAAATTGTGGATCACGGCTTTATCTTGAGCTGAAAATTGTTGCTGATTATGAAGAAGCATTTATTTGATGTATAAGTCGAACAAATAAAGAAATATCTTCTTAAAAAAACAGGGCTATTTCAATTTACAAACTTTCTAGAACGGAGTCTAAAAAATTGGCCCATTTCTAGAACGGGGTATCAGTTTTAGGGCAAATTCTAGAACGGGGTATAAAAAATTGGCCCATTTCTAGAACAGGGTATCAATTTTAGGGGAATTTGTTTTTAGAACGGAGTGCCAATTTGGAGTCCCGGGCGGCACATACCCACCCAAAAAATACCCAAGTGCCCCCCCCCCGGGTATCAAAACAAGGTCAACTCCAGCCTAGTTTCCACCTGTAACTTTTAAATGAGCTATTATAGCAGTGCTTTTTACCGGGAACTAGTTTTAATAGGTATTTCACCAATAAAAAATAGTTCATGGAAAGGGAGAATAGAGGTGGATGTCTGTAAGCCACTCACTACCCTGCAAGCAGAGTCTCCTAGGAGACTCTGCTCACAGGCTAGCAGCTCACATACCTGATGTTGGTTTCTTATGTCTTCATGATGAATAAGATGAATGATTTTCACCAGACAAGCCACAACACGTTCAAGACATTTGCTATCTAAGGCAATATTTTTATCATCTATCAACTCTGTTGGATTATTTATGTCCTCTTGCATTTCTAATATTCTGAAAAGGTTTTCAGTTACTGCTGGAGTAATGTTAGGGGATGAAGATTCCTAGAAAGAAAAACACAGAAGATATTATTAAGGGACATATGTACTGGTATCTTACTCAGGCAGGTAATGTACTGCACAGGGGAAATAATTTCTTAGAGATTCATGCAACAGAAACTGATTGTCTTGATATACATGTTTTATGAGACAGTGCAGAGACATCTATTTCATATTCACCTACAATCTGCTTTTATTTTATTATTCAATTTCCTACTAGAACATCCTTAACATTCCATTTACTTTGGCTACATCCTGGTCAAATATAAAAATGATTTTAAGCAGTTTGAAATAGAGTAACCAGCCATTTTGTACTTCCAGTGATCTCTTAACACTTAACAGTGAGTGAATAATAACTTCACAACCATCCAGGTCATTCCTTTACCCTAACTCCACCCATATCCCTACTTCTTCTCCTGATTACTGCCTCACCTTTATTTCTGATTATTGGTTCCTTATAAGGATATAAAAAAAAGATTTGGCATGATAACTACAGAATAGTTATAATTTCCCAGGAATAAGTGAAATAAAACGAGCATTCTCATTCAAGTGGGTCAGCAGTATGCCATTCCTAAGTGAAGAGCTGGCCACTGACCCATGAAGGCACCAGCCTAGATATAACCTTTCCCTTTCTTCAAGATGCTAGCCTTGACTGATGAGTCACCGAAGGCGGTCTCGATGAGGGCCACTAAAATATGTACCATTGCTTGTTCTTTATAACTCAGACCGTAAATCCCTTATTATACCCCTGGGGAGGGTGGTGTTTATTTCAAGTGCGTTTGAGGGGGGCTTACAGAGGATTTATGGTACCTATATACCTTTCTTGTTATCTAACAATTGAAGTTAAATATTTATCTTCCCGGGATTATTTAAACACTCATGACGAGTCTGAGCAAGCCATCAAGCCACTTCTGTTTAAGTCCTTACAATAAGTTAACAATTACCTAAAAGGCTACAAGGAAGTCAAGATATTGGTTGCTTTAAAGTCCTTTTAAAAGAAATACTCATTAAAACAGCTGTTAAAATTAGTAGACATCAAGCAAGGAACTTTTAACGGGAAAAAGGGAAACCAATTGAGATAGTTAAAATACAGAAAATAAACAAAGTGATCCGCGGTTACATAAAATTAAAGACAAAGGGAAGTTAAATATAAACAGTTGAAAACAGATGAAAACTTAACGAGATATTAAGCTTAATATAATTCCATTCACTATTAAATAAGTATGTTACAAGGAAAAGATTAAATTTTCGAACTTCTTTCAACATACCTTTCCATTCAAGTAACTCCAGACTTGTTCTGGGTCAGCCAACATTCTGCAAGAAAATAAGTAAGAATGCTCGACTTTGATATTGAAGCTCTTCCAATAAGTTCCTTAATGCTCCGAAAACGTTGAACTTTAGGGTGCTTTGTGATTTTGGAAGAAACTGGAATTCAACAATCTCTTTTCGAAAAGCCATCACTCAAAAACCTCAAAAAACTTCGAAATATCAAAAAGGCAAGGTAAAATAATCACCCTTCCCCATCTCGTCCGAGTAATCTCTCGGGATACTCATCCGCCATTTTTGTTGTCATCGATTTGTTGATAGACTGTTTGTTCCGCTCGTTCCAGTTCTTCGCACTTTGAGCATACTCGGGTAGTGGAAGGGGCGGGAATGATGTCGGGGGAGAAGGGGGGTAGGGTGGGTGGAGAGGACTGTAAGGAATTGATTAGGGCAGGCCTTAATTATTATATAGACCATTGTATAGTGTGTAAACTATAAAACTAAACGTCCACCAGGTAGAATAGTCGTCCAGTCTTTGAACTGAATAGTTATTGAGGTGATTACTCATCTAGTCCTTAAGTTATCGCTTTTCCCTAGCTGCCTTTCCCAACCCTTTCCCCAACAAATTTCAGCTGTAACGGATCTGTAAATGATGCCTCATTATAAAACCTTGCTTACAATGTTCATCTTCATTTTCGTATGTTTTCCTCTGAGTTTCCATTCATTAGGATGTCTCGGAGATCGTTTGCTCCATGCTCGTGCGCGAAGCTTCAACTTCACATACTAAACCTTTGTT